TGTGTGTGTGTGTGTGTGTGTGTGTGTGTGTGTGTGTGTGTGTGTGTGTGTGTGTGTGTTTAGAGGGGCTAAAGAGAAGCAAAGAAGTGCTGCCTTTGAGGATGCTCCCTGTGTGACTCCTCTCTCCTACATGGACACTGCTTGCGTGTTGTTTCAGCAAACAGAAGGGTCCTCAGATGATCCGAGACGAGCACAAGGCCACTGCAGCCCACCCAGGAGCCGAGGGCCAGAACCACTGACTTTCAGACACGCACACAGACTCACTTTTTCACAGCAAAGCCACGAGAAGTTATTTGTACTGACCAAGTCTGGTTTGAGACTGGAACTCTTTGTGCCAGATATAGTCTAGCAAAGTCGACTCAGTGTGTTCGGATCATTGGAATACGGGCGATTAGAAAGCTGTAAAACCTCAAAACCAGTTGTTGTTTTTAACTCCACGTTTCTGACATTTCCTTGTCACGGAAAGTTTTCACATTTGTGAAAGATAGTCATCAACAAGAGTCAACGAAACGATGCAGCTTGAAGGTTTGAGGTATATGAGAAACGGTGGACGGGTGGTTTTGAGAAAGAGAAGGCCCGTGATGTCTCTGCTGGCCAGGCGCTCACATATGGCTGAGCTTTGCTTACACAGCCTCACTTCAAGGCGAAGGGCCCTGCAAACATAAACAGTGGAGCGGCTGCAGTTGGAGCAGGGAGGCAGCCGCCTGCTTACCGGGGAACTTTTCTACACTAAACAATGGATCAAGTGACGCACGGGCCTTTTGGCAGCGCAAAACAGACCCAGACCTTCCAGCACGTTTATATCTCTGCTCTCTCAATATTTATCTCCGGGGGGAAATATACAGTTTTCCACTCCTTTTTGTCCGTCCCTGTGTGTGTCTTCCACCTTTGGCGCAGCAGAACCAGAAAACACAAACAGTGTGACTGAACAGCTCTCCCGCGCCGACTATTTAAAGCCCGTCGTAAAGTAACTGTATCACTAATAAACTGCAGGTGATGGCAATGAAGATAAACAAGCGTTGCACCAGGTTTTGTGCAACAAACTGATTTTCACTTGTGTTTTCTGTCCAGTTGAATTCCACACGAGGAAACTCCTGCTATGCAAGTCGGGGCATTTGAAAGTCACGTTTGTAAAAAAAAAAGTGTGTGCTTCTGTGTTATATCTCTTTTATGACAGGGCACAATGGGAACTGGAGGCGCTCAGGAGCCAGCGAATTCACCCAAATTACAGCTACCAGTTGCTCGGGTAACCGGAGAGGAATGAGGGCCAAATGATGGTGTGTAATTTCCTAATGAATCAGGGGGCAGTGCTTCTTTTTCACACGTAGAGACCTCCTCTGCCTGTTAGCGTAACAACAGGAGGGCTTCTCCAGTGCAGTTGTTCGCTTGGTGAGTCACCCAAACATTGTGCATAATTTCATATACAAATGGTCATAAGGGGTTTTTTTCTTTCTATTTAGTAGGCACAATTTTATTACACAGTTTAACAAGGTACAGCCTTTTTCAGCCCCCTGAGAAATTATACAATATTGTAAAATACCGTATATTGTTGACTCATTTAAAAAAAATCCTTCTCGGTATTTTAGTTTGGAGAGGTTCTGATCAGTTTTAAAGTGCCCGTGAATTTTCATTTTATTATTTTTTTAATAATACAAATGCATTTTGTAAGGATAACATAGTGCAAAAAACAACCTGACACTGCTAAGATTAACAGTGAGATATTTGCATGTGAAGCAACAGGAAGTGGTGTCAAAGMGGAATGTCTGCATGTGAGGAGAGCTCTGTTAAAACAACACAGACTGTAGAAAATAATYTTTCTTTAGATCATAGATCATTTTGAGTCACTTTCAGAATGAGACAAAAGAGTCTGGGTTCAAATAATATTGTTTTAAAAGGGGCAATATTATGTGTTTCTCAGGCATATATTGAAATACTATACCATAATAATGTACCTATGTCACCTTTAGCTGTTATTAAAA